AAGTGACCCTGAGATGATACCCTGGCTTATTTTCACAGACAGTTGATTTCAAGGGAGGACATTGCCCATCCTTCTCCCATGGAGCAGCTATTGGCCTGGAACCGCGAGCCTTGGGATTGCAGGGCAGTTTCTTGCCACTAGGTCACCAGAGCTCCCTCCTCAGAATATGACAATGATGAAAACTCACCAGAGGGTAAGGTGGTAAAGGAATTAGGAAATATCCAGTGGGAACCTGAAAAGATAGATAATAGTCGGCATAATAAATGGTGACTATTTTTTTTAATATTTTAATTTGTCCAACCCATGATCTGACAGTTTGTATCTTAAGCTTTCTTGGCTTCTGTGATTCCAAAAACGTCTACTGCTGACATTTTCCTTTTGACCAGTGTCTCTTAAGTTTAGTTGTGTTGTCTCCAAGGGAAGGAGACGTGTCCTGTAGAACTCCTGAGTGGAGATGTTTCCCTTTCTGGCACGAGGGCCGCAGGCCCGAGGGCCCGCCTGAAATCCTGGGTACCTTTGAAAAACGCCTCTTCGTCACCTGTCTGATCTGGCTTGCTTGTGCCCGCTCTCAGCCTCCCTTCTGCCCATGAGCATGCTGGAAATCCTGGGTACCTTTGAAAAAGACCTCTTCGTCATTTGTCTGATCTGGCTTCCTTGTGCCCGCTCTCAGCCTCCCTTCTGCCCAGGAACACGCCTGAAATCCTGGGTACCTTTGAAAAACGCCTCTTCGTCACTTGTCTGATCTGGCTTCCTTGTGCCCGCTCTCAGCCTCCCTTCTGCCCATGAGCACGCTGGAAATCCCGGGTACCTTTGAAAAAGACCTCTTCGTCATTTGTCTGATCTGGCTTCCTTGTGCCCACTCTCAGCCTCCCTTCCGCCCAGGAACACGCCGGAAATCCTGGGTACCTTTCAAAAACACCTCTTCGTCACTTGTCTGATCTGGCTTCCTTGTGTCTGCTCTCAGCCTCCCTTCTGCCCATGAGCACGCTGGAAATCCTGGGTACCTTTGAAAAAGACCTCTTCGTCATTTGTCTGATCTGGCTTCCTTGTGCCCGCTCTCAGCCTCCCTTCCGCCCAGGAACACGCCGGAAATCCTGGGTACCTTTCAAAAACAGCTCTTCGTCACTTGTCTGATCTGACTTCCTTGTGCCCGCTCTCAGCCTCCCTTCCGCCCAGGAGCACGCCGGAAATCCTGGGTACCTTTGAAAAACGCCTCTCAATGGAAGATATTTTCTGAAGGGACTTGGTAGATTAGAAGGGTTATCCTGGTGGAGGGTGGAGATGGGAAGTAAGTGGGTCAAGGCACTGGGCTAAGAGGGGGGTCAACACTTTAACTAATGCTTACCCCCACAAAAAGGGATTTATCTTTAACTGCTCCACAAATTGCTGTCTGTCAGATACTCCTCTAAATCTGAACATTCAGAT